ATGGTTTTCTGACAGTATGGTGTTCATTTCATTCTCCCTGAAAGTGACAATAGCTATCTATATGTTTTTCTCTGTACTAGATCTAAGTTTCTCAAAGAACGCATTGGTCTTAGTTTTCTCTTCTGGTAAATGTTTAAAACATATTTGTTGACTTCATAAATAAGCTTCTCCAGCAGGTAGAGAGAAATGAATCCTTTCTTCTAAGATGAAAATTTTTGTAAGGAAGTTCATGGCTAACACTCTGGAGAGGTAGCTTTCCATTTCGCTCATGAGTATAAAATACTCCTAAGGTCTGATACCATTTTTGTAAGTGTGGCTTGATGTGAATTCATGACACCGATGTACATACTGTTCTAATTGTGAAACACCATGCTATACTGTATAATTCACCCATTCGTCTAATAATCCTTTGTAGAAAACACAAAACATGTGTCAGGACTTTGGTAAATATAATGATTCCCTATCTTGTTCACACTCTCAGCCTAATGGAGTTACATAGACAAATAATTATATACTCATTAGGTAAATATAACAATTTAGGTAAATACAATGTACTTTAGCTCCCCAAAATAGTTTCTCTCTCGAGGGAAGATCTGTCTCATCCAAACGATGATGAGGATGTCCTTTGCCAATGTACTGATTTTACAAGGGACTTTGCAACTGCATTTTTTATATCCAGCCTTCTGTATATAGCAGCCCCAGCTACCGACCGAAGTCCTCCATCTCATGGAGAGCTCTTTGGGCCAAGAATTGAAAAATCAGTGTGGAAGTAATTGCTTGAATATCCATTTCGCCAAGCCTTAGTTTCTGCCTTTCCATGAAAGTTACTAGATGATTGTGCGTGAACAAAAACAGAAGGTAATATACTGACAGGAAACAAATGCACATTAAACCATGGAGATTTTCTCTTACATGAACCTGCCGTTTGTTAAGCAGTTATTGTCTGTTCCAAAGGGAAGCTGTAAAAAACTTGAAGCAAGCATTCTTCGACAGCACTGGGGAAGAACAAGTAAGAAAATGCTTGTTTAAAAGGGCATAGAGGTGATATAAAAATCTAAGCTATTTTAAGAAGAGATGAATGACCTACCCAAGGACTTATTCAAACCTAGACAACACCATTGTAGAACTGTTACTGAGCCTTCTATATCTGATCATAGTTCTGATGAAGAGGGAGGTGCCATTTTAATCTGAGAGAATACATTTATTCAACTGAGTGTATATATGCAAATATATATATATATATATGAAATTTCCCACTGTACTATACACACGCACACTTCCCACTGTCTATCAGCATATTAGAATCATAAAATTGCATTATTTGGAAGGTCATAGATAGTTTTTGAGACTGACTCTTATTATGAGAACAAATATCTTATCCATTAAACTTTGTGTAGTTGCAAGTCCTGAACTTGGACTTGGAAGATGATACTTCAAGTCTCCACCACATTATCAGGGAAATCACTAAGCTGCATGAAGCTTCAGTTCCTCTTCTATCAAATAAGCAAAGCAAAACTATCTTCCAAGGTAGTTGAAGATATATAAAGAATAAGTGAGGTGACTTGTTTCCAAACTCAAAATAAGAATGAACTGTCATTATCTGTACAATCATTGCATTTTACATCATTTAATGTGAGATATATTTTACTCTATATAACCTCAAACCATGAGTTTTTTTCTTAGGTTGCTATTTCTTGCTTTTCTGGCAACCTTGTTCTGCATAATGTCTCAAAACTTCAAAGATACAGAGTTGTAGAGTTACTCTGGACAATACTTTCTTTGCTACCGAGTTCTGAACTGCAAAAAAGATAAACTTCCTCAGCATAGAAAATTCTTAGTTTATCTTCTTACTGTATCGTTTACAAAATTCATATAAATTGCTGCTGGCTAACTTCTTGCACAGTTGCTCCACTTAGCTTAATAGAAGTAACTGAAGTTTTT